AGACAACTGTGGCTGCGCAGAGACTTTCTCCAATCTTCTCTGCGAGTGTCCTCGCTTCAGCGTGCCAAGAAAAGAACTGTCGAAAGCTTTCGATAGAATAGACAATCGCCAGTTGTCGGAAGAAAGGGTATTAGGACACTGGCCGAGACTGTCCTCTGCACGCAAGGCATTGAGAGCGTTGTTGCGCTTTCTGCGGGCAAGTGGTTTTAGAGAAAGACTGTAAACAGCGTCGTGGATCGTCTGATGAACTTCTCTCTATTTTTTTAACGTCTCTTTTCTCTCATCCTTTATCCCCCTCACCCCCTTCCCCAGTACAGGGAGCCAGCCGGTCTGAGAACTGGCTAACCTCCCTGTCCTTCCTCATTTATTCCTCCTCCTTCTCCTCTGCTTGCTTTGCTGGACCCGTATTTATTTCAGCATTTTATTGATTCTTTCTTTGCAACGTCATATTATAGAACTTCTCTACAATTGCCCTTTCCAACGACACACCAGCTGACTACTGCTTTGGCATGTGGCTTTGTGTCGACCAAACTTCTGTAATTATTCACACATCTGTGTAAGACCCTTTCACCCACATATCGTCTTTACACGCAAAGCATTCATTTTCCGCTCTCACTTTATTTCTTAAAAGTGCTCCGTTCGTTTCTGCTCAGCTTGAAGTTGGAGAATAAAACACAGTGGAAACCACCAGTATAATTTAGAACTCTCTCTGTATTTGAATGCCTTCGCTCGCTCATTTGAACCACCAGCTATCGAAGTGAACGTACTAGCAGTTGCGCGGCGAGGATAGATTGAGCGAAGGGTCACGTCTTTAGCAAAAGGCAACGTATACAGAGGAAGTGGTGTACTCGAAGGAGGCTTCAGTTACCAACGTCTGAGAGTGGAACATCGAAGAGACAAACAAATACAAAAGAGCCAACAAAAAGAGAAATACTCTGAAGTATTAAGCATGTCCTTTAGAAATCTCTGATATCGCAACATAAACCACAAAGGCCCGAATACTTTCTGCTCTTTTCAAAGTGTCAAAGCTCGCGTTTCATTTCACAAGATTGAGCCGCCCGTGCGGCTGTTCTGTGTCCACGAGCATTCATAGATTAGCGGTATTTTTAAATGTACAGTGCACTTTAAGGCACCAGTGTGTCGTTGCTGTGATCACCTGCTGTCATCATGGCTTGAAGTGATGCAGGCAAAACAACATACATGATGGTCTCTTCAGCACGCTCGCACCCAACATAAGACTTCTTCTCCTGGCTCTTCGTTTACATTGATGATGACGCAGGCCAAAGCTCGTATAGCACAGCCGTTTGATCGCTGTACGTGCCAGAGAGAACACCTTTGCCTCTTCGACCACCTTGAGGATGATAATACACGTGGAGCACTTTAGGAGCCCGGGCTGTCGCAGGCTGTAGTCGCTTGGCGCAACGCATGTGAAACCACGCATAAAAGCCGAGAAAACAGGCAGAAAGCGATAAATAGCAAGGTAGACAGAAAGAAAAGAATAGGATTAAAGTCAAGTTAACAGGAAAAAACATGAAAGAAACTTGAAAGAGAGGAGGAAAGGAGAAAATTGAAGAATAACTAAAGTAGGCTGCACAGCTTCAACATATTTGTGATTTTCACATTGTAGTCAGACAAAAATTATTGTAATGCATCAATAGACTGAATATCGACAGCGACAGTTGTGACGGTGAAGTAGAAGTGACGTTCCGTCTCCTATTAGCAGCGAAATCTCAGGTCTGAATATTGGCGCTTGTGGTTCTACTGCTGTGTTTGCGCAAAGCAAGAATCCCAATATTGTTCAAATAAAGGAAACCGAATATTCAGTATTTTGTTCTGTGAACGTATGTATGTCACGCTATCACTGAATATTAGCTTAGACGCTAAGTTTATATGCTGGTTGGTCTAGCTTGAGAGAAACGCCCATAAAGTAAAGAAAGGAATAAAGGCATCATTGTCAGCTGGAGCAGTTTTATTAGCTGCTAATATGCAGTTTTGTATGTAAAATTCGTCAAAGATGTCCATAGAGTTGTTTTCTTTTTTTCTGTAACTTGCGCAGATCAGTTCTCATCCTAGGCTAATGAGTGGTTAGGAAAAGTTCGCGAGGTGCCTTTGGAAGGCGACGGCAATCCATAATTTTGGGAGGATGTCGCTGAAATAGTCTGCCACTTCTCACTCGGAATACCAAACGTCCAATGGCTTCAAGTTTTGCAGCATGCAGTACACATGAAGCCGACGGCTAATGGGAATTCATCAACGTCGTTAGAAGCGACCCCACCGTCCATTCATCATCGGTAAAAATGTCTGCAGTGCACTGTGCCCAAAGATTCGCATCTAAAGATCTGTGTGAAAGCTACATAGTGCTTTTCGCTCTTTCGCTCATAAGTTATCCCCACACACGAGCCTCGGTTCGTCGTTAGTTCAGCCCGTAACCCGATAGAATTGATGGTTGCCCTTGACAGCGCAATGTGCTCTGAAGCCCCACCGTCCATATTAAACGAATGATAGAACCAAAAATTGTGAATATCCTCGCTCTTATGGGACGAACACGGCGTATAAACCACTAAGCTCGGTGCACCATTCATGATGACGCGTACAATTGCCCTCTTTGTGTGAAGCTCCTGGTGCCAACTAAACGTACTCTAAGTTCAGCTCAAAGATGCGACTTTCCACGCATTGTAGTTTTCATACACTATGACATCCTTCCCATTGCCTCATCTTCTACTTTCCAAGAATGAATCGCGGATCATCTGCAACGTTATTGCAATCTTTGTAAATAATGTTTTACTTGTAATCCCAACGCTTACGTAACACTACCAGAATGCGGGCTTTCGAAGAAATAAAACTGAACTCAACCCGACTGAATACTGTATTATCAGAGTGCTACTGAAAGTCGCCAAAAATATCGAGTCCTGGGCATCAGCTTTTCTTACCATTCCAGAAACACTGTTCCTCGATCAACTTGCGTATATTAACGAGGCACTTGTGCTTCTGGGAATGCATAAAGGCACTTTGTGCTTAATAGGGGTAGACATGTCCACCCTCCGCTCCTTCCACTTCCTTTCCGTACGCAAATAGCACTATATTTCTTATGCTTACTGTCGCTGTCAGAATGGTACCAACCGTAGGTATAAATAGGTTACTTCGAAGTTTAATATATAACTCTGATTGTTGCGATCTGCGAAGTCGCAAAAGACGCCAATTTTTTTTTTGAAAAGCTTCAATGGCTAATATTAGGGCAGAAATTGTGTGTTATGATTTTATAACTTCTGAAAAAATTGTGGAAGCCACGCCCATCACCCAGCTTATTCGGCAAGCTTGACAATGACCTGGGCTACACATTTGCAATGTACGTGTCCCGATGGCGCATTCTAAAAGCCGGCACGCAGGCTCCGGGGTAGGGAGCTGTCTTCAGTGGATCAACCAATCAGCCATTTGAATTGACATGTAGCTATGCGCACCCACACAACTTCTCCGGTTGGTGGAGACATTTTTCTCGGCACACGTATCACTTGGGTGGCTTCTTACGTTCACTTCCGCACGCTGATATTGACTGCCTTGATGGTTCTCTTCTCAAAGCATACAAGACCATGTATCTCCTTGTACATTCAAACTTAAAACACGGTTAACGAGCTAATCGAAGTTACCCTCACGTCCCACTACAAACGAATCTCAGTCACGCATGCGGTTAACACGTGTCAAATCAAGCTCCTCCTTTCGCGAGCAGCCACCACTCACCAAGACGTAGCAAGAGTTCTACGGCTCAGCCTCTCTATTCCACCACTTCTCAGTAACACCTACCATGAACACATGTACCCCAGATTCTCCGCTCATCCATGCACGTGAGGCATCAGCCCCTTTGGTTACTTACACCGACATTCTTCTGCCCTACAAAGTAGGCCATCTCTATTTTCCCCCACCCCATAGAGAGACTCCCAGGCGTGATAAGCATGCCAATGCGCATGCTTAAGCTTCAGACGTACCTCCTGCGTACCCCCGACTTGATAATCTCACGCTCATTGGAAGACACGGCATCCTGAAGGACAGACCGTCGGCTTCCTCTAAGCATCTAAGTAGTGTAATTGAGCTCTGTATCGGTTCTCCATTTGAAGGAATTATGAAGTTTTAATTTATAATTCAATGGCGGGCAGTGTGGTCAACGGTGTGTGTTCGTGGGAATTGTGCGCCCTGCAGGGGGTGAATATGGTTGCTCGGGAGTTACACGACGTGGCAGTTATTGCTCCAGTGTTTTTCGAAGTTATTATTAACAAATGCGTTTCAGTTTTGAGTGGCCCCGCGGCGTTTTTCTTGTGTAGATGATAAGATCCCCCATCGACACAGAGGTATACGTGTAGAGATAAACGAGAAGCATTATAAAAGTGGGCCAGTGTTTGCTACCGGAAAAGGCATGATGCATTTGTGCCTACCAGGAAGTAGAGAATATATCAGCACACAGGATGCCACCCCTGTGTGTGGTATTACAAGAAAACTTCCTCAGGTTCGGAAACGAGGCAGCTTATTCACAAAGCCTTGTCCATCCTCGGTGTCTGTCACGGAAAGATTCATCGATGTGAGACACAATAAAGGTTGGACAATAGATTATAGTATCAGTAATAACTATGACGGAACAATATAGACACATAGAAGCAAAAACCTTTTACACGAGTTTGCGACTTCAATGTAGCCATTATGAATTTAGGACGTAGCTTTGTCGCCGCCCACTGTCCACTGTCACTGTGGTTAGAAAACCGTTGCTATAGCTTAAAAATGCGTGTATATGAATTAGAAAGGCTTACAATAGAGAACAACAATCATAATAATTACGAAGCAATATAAGCACCTACAAGCACAAGTTCTTTGTGATGGTAAGCGATTTTAACGTAGATATTAGGGGCCTGAGGACCGAGCTTTCTTGTCGGCTCTTTATGTCACTCGCTTTTCGTTGGTCGGCGAACTCACTCATGAGCCGACTCACTAGGACTCACTCAGACTCAGATCGAGCCATGAGTCTGAGTGAGTGCAGTTAAAGAAATTTTTATGAATGTGAGTCAGAATGAGTCTGACTCAGTAAAATTTTCGTGAGTCTGAGGTCGAGTGGGTCCAAAGCTCAAAATTTATTTCGTGAGTGAGCGTGAGTGAGCTCTACAAGTTTTGGGGACCTACTTTACATTATATAGGGTAACGCTTGGGTAACATATGCGAGATACTCAAAAAAAATGCTAGGCCTACGTGGAAGGCGCAGCACAGTCACAGCAAAAGCTACAAGCGCGACCTTTCAGAGTTTTTTTGTTCTATACACTTATGGGTAACTGCTACAAGCACACTTGCTGGGTACCCACTACGGTATTAATAATAATAATTTCTGGGTAGTAGACCAGCATTCGCTATGCTATTTCGTCATTCTTCAGGGAAGCGCTGTATCCACTGAACACTTGCAAGGAGTTTTGTGCCAATTTTTCATGCAGTGACTGACGACGACAAGGAATTTATGCCCGAAGTGGGTATGCACCACACTGAAGATGTGTTCGAAAACAAGCTCTTGTAATGGGTCGGAGCATCGGACGACCCACTCATTATGCTATTCACACTGTGTGACCCTGTCACAGGTCCCGTAATTTAGGGAGGCGATCGCCGGGCTAATTCCAAGGGCCGAAGTATCGGCCCCCCGAACTGCACCACGAAAACGCGGACAATTCAGAAGTGGTCCTATTGGGCGCGCCAGCAGACGCCGGCTGTGGTCCAAAGAACGAGTCAGAGCTTAGAGTTGCCCCGCCGCGGTGATCCGGTGGATAAGGTACTCGGCTGCTGACCCGCAGGTTGCGGGATCGAATCCCGGCTGCGGCGGTTGCATTTCGATGTAGGCGGAAATGTTGTAGGCCCGTGTACACAGGTTTGGGTGCACGTTAAAGAACCCTAGGTGGTCGAAATCTCCGGAGCCCTCCACTACGGCGTCTCTCATAATCATGTGGTGGTTCAGGGACGTTAAACCCCACATATCAATAAAACCATCGAGCCGAGCTTTTATAAACAAAACAAAATTATATTCTCAAATATGGCAGATCGAACGATACACAAATATGCACACTTGACAATATTTGAATACGATATGTCACCAATCAGACAACGTACTACACACAACAATAAGCCACACTCAAAGCAACGGACACAAACAACAATACGCGCTACAATGCAATCACATGCATTGAACAACCAAGACACCTAAAGGCTAAATAGTTCGAAAACTTATTCAGTTCAAAGTCTTCGGAACAAAGTCTGAATGATACTCTTCCAAAAATCACTCACTCAAAGTCCAGCGCTGTTATCGTTCCGCTGCCCCCGAAGTTTCTCTTCCAGGAAACCTCGCGTCTTCAATTGGCGGCTCTCCAAGCACCAAACTTTTTCGCCGGTAACACGTCGGCTTCCCACGCGCAGCTGTTGCAACGCATTTTCACTCACTGGCGGTAGACGCACTCTTCTGCTTGTAGCACGAGTATTTACCCCTTAGGTGGAAATCCTCCTCATTACCAGCTTTGTCACTGAGAACACAAGCCTTCGCCGACACGGCAGAAAGACCCTACGCACACTTGCGCGAAACTTTCATCACCTGCCTACGGACACGGGCACAAACTTTCTTCTTCTCCTGCTTTGTCGCTGAGGACAAAACCTTCGCCGACATGGCGGAAACACCCTTACGCACACTGGCGCAACTTCCTTCTTCTCCTGATCTCCCTTCTCCGCTGCTCGCTTAAATACCTTCCACGCTAGATTCCAGAAAATTCTAATCGTTTCGTCGGCGCGATGCACAGCCAAGCCTGCGTGAAGAGAGAGACGTCTCGAGGGCCGTCCGCAACACGTGACGCAACTCTGCATTAACACGTCATTTTTCTTCGGGAACCTTCCAGGGCTTGCTTGACCACCTATGTGAAGAGGTTGGTCGGCGTAACTACGCTTCTGAGGGGGAGCGAGGGTGCGCCCGGGGAGCCCTTGGATGCTTGTTTTCTTCTTTAGCGTTGACCTTGCGGCGTCTCTTGGTGCTTGGTCGCCACAATTCGGTGGTGTGCTCTTTTTTGAGCGCTCGTTTGCGACAGATGCCTTGTTGTTCTTTTGCATTTCTAAAACTCGTTATTACTCATAATACCACGATTGCTTTCCCGACATCAACCCTGCTTAAGGCAAGTTTGCGAACAAGCCCCAATCACCGGCGTGTTGGGAGAGGAGGAAGAAGCCGCACCGATCGGCTGTGTTCCAAAATGCTCTCTGCTGGTAACAGCGTATCGGCCAACGGCCGAGGATGATCGACTCCATTTCATGATGAAGACTCAAGCTATAAAGTCGTCCTGCGACGTCTTCCAACTGGTAACGACGTCTTGAATTCCGTTTTCCTTCATTCCGACTTGAGTGGTAGGCCGTACCGTGCCCCAGACTTCCGTGACGCGCTGCTTAAAGTGGTGAGCACAGCGGACATTATGGGAGTTGGCCAGTATCAAATGAGCCATGTATGGATGGTTACGTGTGCAAGCAGCATGGCGAAACAGAAACTGGTCACTTGTGGTGAGCTCCGTGTAGAAGGGCTGAAGTGCATGGTTTTAAATCCGGAGACCAAGAATATTAGGCTGAAACTTTTAGGCTTCCGCTTCATCTTGAATCGCGACGTGTTGAAGAGGCGTTCCAAGCTTACGGCGTTGTGAAGTCCGTTGAAAGAGAGGCATGGAGATGTGCAGGAATGGAACAATGGATGACAAGAAATAGAGACGTTGCCTTGGAGCTCAAGGACACCATCACTGTGAGCTCAATACCACACCTAATGTCAATCTATGGCCACCAATGCCTCGTACTTATTCCCGGTAGGCCTCCACTGTGTATTCGGTGCAAGCGAGTGGGGCATGTACGACGACAGTGCAAAACACCGAGGTGCTTGCAGTGCCAGCGTTTTGGTGACTCGTCGGATGCCTGTGTGTCAACTTATGCCAACAAACTCCGTTCTCGCCAAGGCACAGAAGAGCAACGTCTGGATCATCTTATGGATGTCACTGAAGTAGTTCATGCGACAGGAGATGCCGCGGGAGCAGAAGAAGGTGCCGTAAAGGAAGTTGAACACTTGTCCATGGATACCCTTGGCACGCAAAATAACACCGCTAGCGACGCCAGTGAAAACATAAATGAATGCATTGCTACAGGCGAACACCACTTGGAAGGCCTTAAAGACAAGCCTCCTGACAATGAGGAACAAGAAGGAATGGATAGCAGTCAGACAAGGAAGCGTCAGGCACCGGTCACCAATGAAGCAACAACGAGTGCGCCAGACACGACAGAGCAAGTGTCTTCGTGTGGTCCACGTGTCACCTTCTTTGGGGACCGAGAGACGCGCCGCCTATGCCAGCGTCCTGAAGAAAGTGCTCCTAAAAAGTGCAAAGGAGGTAAAGCCACAGGTTGCCCTGTGGCTAAAGGTGACCTACAAAAGTTTTAAGATATCCAAATGGCTACCGCGCTAACGTTTCTCATATGTGTAGCGACACTCAACGTATGTGGCTTGAGGAATGTAAGGCGTCAGTGGCAGTTGCGCCACGTGCTTGAGCAGTACAACATTGATGAACTTGTAGTGCAAGAGACTAAGATTTCCGCTGCTCGTGACGCCGATCTTGCACTGGAAGTTTTCCGTGATTAACATTTAAACATCAGCCCAGCACGCGGTGCATCCGATGGATGCTTTTTATTAGTTAGAAAGCACTTGAATCATATTTTGACGTCACTACATGCTGATGGGGAAGGACGCCTCATTTGTTGCGACTTATCTTTTCATTCCCATAATTGGAGGTTTATCTGTGTCTATGCTCCCTTCAGAGGGAATGAAAGGAATTCTTTTTTCCTTTCTTAAACCTCGCTACTAAACACTGACAGAACTTTGGTAGTTTTTGGAGACTTTAATTGTGTTTGTGACGCTAGAGATCATTCATATATAACAAATCGTTATGATGCAAGTGCAGCCTTACTGCAGAAACTATTGAATGACCCCAATTTAGTACATGTGGGAGCGCATGCACCTTCCTCGGTGAGGTTCACGCACTTTGAAGGCATCTTTCATGCTCGGCTTGACCATGTATATGTATCTCCAAGCTTATGGTCTCACATTCATAATTATGCTTTAAAGCCCATATTTTTTACAGACCATTGCTTGGTCACTGTTTCTTGGGGTCCTGAAAATTTTCGTAAAACCCCTCTAAACTGGGACCTATGGAAGCTTAACGTACAGTTGTTGCGCGAAGATTGTTTTGTTAAAATAGTAAAAGAATCGGTACAAGAGGTAACACAGTGTCGACAGCTGCCGATTTTCGCTCAATGGGAAAGGTTCAAAAAAGAGTCAAGTATCAGGCAATTAGTATTTAATGCGAAATAGCGCAAAGAAAAAAAAAGCTGTAAAGCGCTATCTTTACGATTTACTTCATAAGCTCCATACTTTTGAAAGTCAACAGCCGGAATTGTACGGGGACGAGATAAATGTGATTGGAGCATAGATACAAAAACATGATACAGATTTATGCAGGGGAGCTAAGATTCGTTCCCGTGTTACCCATTTCACTGAAGAGGAACCCACTAAAAATCTGTCGGTAATGAAAAGAGATATGCACTTTCTAAACAGATAGTGCAAATTGAGTCGCGGGGTTCCCTGTGCACAGAGACATGTGAAATAAGAGCCGCATTTGAAGTTTACTACAAATGTTTGTTCACCGTGTTCACTTCATTGCCCTTGTGCCTCAGTTACAAGATGATGATAGACTCACTGTGGAGGGGCCAATAACCAGAGAGGAAATTGGATTTTCAATAACAACGTTGCAGAAAAACAAAACTCCTGGCCCAGATGGCCTTAGTGGCGAATTTTACATAGCTTTTCAGGAACTTCTAATACCTTTCCTTGAGCAACTTTTTAAAGAGGCTTATGACCGTGGTGAACTTCCTCCTTCTTTCTATCAAAGCCATACAACATTAATCCCAAAAAATTCATGATCCTGGCGCATGAAAGGGAGTTAACGAATACACGCCTATATCGTTATGTAACGTTGACTACAAAATATTTGCTAAATTGTTGACAAATCGGCTACAGACAGTGATTACGAAATCTGTAGGTGACCACCAAACATGTGGAGTTCGTGGTTGCTCTATACAGACAAACATTCATATTGCACGTCCAGTTCTTGAGTGTATGGATGGTAGCATGGACCAAGTAGCCCTCCTTCAAATAGACCTTGCAAAATCATTTGATAAGGTACAGCATGCTTTTTTGTTCCGGCTCCTAAGGCACCTGCAGCTGGGTGATGTACTATACAATGGTATCTCACTCTGTTATAAGAAGTGCACAACTAGGCTAATTGTAAATCGCACACTTTCCTATATAATAGAGTTAAATTCATCTGTACGTCAGGGATGTCCGCTGTCACCTTTGCTTTTTGCAATTTATCTGGAACCATTATGTTTAAGTGTGCTTCTAAAGTCCAGCATAAGTGGCTACCGATATGATGCTGAGGAAGTTAAAGTTCTAGCTTATGCAGATGACCATGCATTCTTTTGCGCTGATAAACCCAGCGTTCAAGAAGCAGTCAACACTACTTTACGTTTCTGTGAAGTCGCTGGCGCCAGCATAAATTTTGATAAAAGTAGTGGAATCTGGCTAGGCATGTGGGCCCAAACTCCTTCGGTCTTCGCAGATATTCATTGGAAGGCGACTCTTATGAAATACCTTGGTGCGCCTCTCGATAACTATCGTAACAGCGGCCCACACTGCACCGCTGCGATAACTACGATCCGCCGAAAGGTGGCAACATGACACAGACGGGAGCTTTCCATTTTTGCCAGAGCGAAAGCGTGCAATATATTCCTTGTATCGAAGCCTATTTATATTCTGCAAGTGTTGCATTGCTCTCGGGTACACATTCAAGCCTTTCGTAGGATATTTGCCTGCTTTATTTGGAGCTCTTCCTGGGAACCCATGAGAAGAGACAATCTTTTTCTTCCACTTGAAAAGGGTGGCCTCGGCCTTGTGCATTTGTTCGTGCGACAGTTGGTGTTGCGATGTTTCTACCTCAAGGATGTGTGCCACCCATTTCTGTTAGCAGTTCTTCGTAACCGTCTATGTTACCACCTTCCTTTTATTCATGTCACAACAAGCGTTGCTAAGGTATTGCCCTTGCGGGGATTCCTAATATAAATCGTTGATACTGTCAGTTTTTTGAAAGCCAGGTTCACCTTAGAGTATTTGTATACTATCGACAGAACAAATTCAACCGCTGCACTTGTTAATAACCTTTTCCCCGGACCTGTTTATCGAAAGTCCATATTCGCTTCTGCCTGGTCACGATGTATTATTTCGTGTAGGTAGAATGTGTATATCTCCTTCAGCGAAAACATTTTTCTTTAAACTGCACACTTCCACGCTGCCAGTGAAAACGTGGCTGAATGAAAAATCAATATACGTACCATGGACAGTGAATTGTAGACTCTGCAACCAACCTGAGACTATAGAGCATTGTTTTATTCATTGTCGTGATGCTTTTTATTTTTGGGACATTCTAAAAATAACGTTAAGAAAAGAACTTCCAATCACAGCCCATGGTATTAGGTTCCTTCCGCTCAAAAAGAGTCTGACCGATAGTACTCCTTACGACTTGTTTATGTTGTTGGGACTTTATTCATTATGGAAAAGTCGCATGATCGATAGACACGCCGAGCTACCACGGTCGACGAGATCTGTCTTCCGAGAAGCAGCTGCTCAAGTGCGCAGTGTTGTCGAGACTTTTGACCCCGTTCCGGAGTGGCTTCCCGTTCTTGACGCTTCTGTGTGTTTGCCTGACTTCTGATGAAGTATGTTCTGTGTACTTTACTGGTGATAATTTCATTCATTAAAGAAAAAAAACGGCGTGGTTCAGTGGTAGAAATCTGGGCTGGCCCGCAGCGGACCCTGGTTCGAGCCCAGTTGTGCCCTTGGTGCTAGTTTTTTTTTATTATTTCTTTATTGTGGTTACGAATACCGGCGGCGGCGGACAACTCCGGCAGCGCGTGACACGAGTTTTGATCTCATAACAGCTTTCGCTGTAAAAGAAAAAAAAGTTCAACAAGACACTACAGTATTATTCACAACTGTGAGAGAGCAATATGAAACAACTACAAGCACGAACCCCTTGTACTATTTGGCGACTTCAATATAGACATTATGGGCATTAGAACCTAGCTTTGCCCACTCAACACGATTCACTTCGTGGAGATGCACGATTTTTTTCCGTTTATTATTCTCCCTTCGCATTGCAAAAGAAGCCATACTAGCACCACTCAGACCTTACCTTGAACTTTAAAGCTCTTGAAGCACTTCTACCAAATATAAAACAAAAGAAAAAGCGCTTCCACCTGCCATTTATGTAACTTGCCACTGGTGCATCGCGTACAGAGAGAGGAGTCAATATGCGCCAGACGCGCTTTTTATAACGGCGGAAATGGTTCCAGAAGAGTCGAAACCGCCGCACAACTTGGTTCTTCACATCCTCTGTAGTGCAGCTGTAGACGTTGATGTCTGGGAGTGACCGAGTTGGGATGCAGTGACTCCAAGACGACGATAAAAGGTTTTTCTCATTTTATCCCCCTGAGGAGCGAGACACGTGACAAAACACTGCATTTTGCTCTTTCTTTAGAACTCCGCGTGGACTTCTCAAGTACGACATCTGCAATGTGGTCAGATTCCCTATCTATAATGTTATATATATATATATATATATATATATATATATATATATATATATATATATATATATATATATATATATATATATATATATATATATATTATATATATATATATATTAGGAAGCGCCAGGCATGATCTATCTGGCAGATATAAACTATACGATGCCTGGTCACTTGTGAGAAGACAACTAGGAAGTGATTGCTTTATGACTAAGAGAGAGAAGGGGCAAGAGGAATCGGAAGAGAGAGAAACGTCGGCGCTTTTGTCCAAAGGCAGCGCAAGGGAGCCAGACGCTATGGCGTCTGATTCCCTCTACTTTGTATCTGTCTTACCTTATTCTCGTTTTCCAGCAACGCTCTTCGCAGCCACGACACTCACCACTGTGCACGACGAAGAGCGTACATTTTCGGTATGTTGTCCAGAGAAACGGAGACGCTTCCGAAGCGGCACAGTGCGAGCAATGATTTCGAGACAAAAGGTGTAGCTGAGGCGTAACTAAGCCTGGCCCGCGTGGCATCAAAACAATGACCGAGTGCGCACTCTCTGACGCGGCTTTACTCGGGACAATGGAGTCTTCTTGAGAGCCAGGCCACCGCTTAGCGAAGTATGACTCTCTTCTTTTCGCGACAGTGGTGCTTTCGCCTCACTGCACCGTAACTCACTGCACGAGCAACGCAGAATAGCAAGCCG